TTTTTTTTTTTTTTTTTTTTTTTTTTTTTTTTGTACGTCATGAATAAGGAATATTTTAACCAAAAGTAGAGGTTACAATAAAAAAATAAAAATTTTTTTTCGGACAATCGGACCATATTTTTTCCGATGCACTGATCTGCATTAAACATGTCGATAAGTAGTCCGATTTTTGAGTATATGATTATCCAGTACGGTACGAATTTGCAAACCTGTACGGTACGGTTGATCAATTTTTGTGATAATCATTTCGTACCGTACCGTACTGGTTCTATAATAATCTCTTTATATATAGAACCAGTACGGTACGGTACGAAATGATCAACCATAAAATTTAACCAACTGTACCGTACCGTACTGGCTCTATAATAATCTCTCTATATATAGAACCAGTACAGTACAGTACGGTTATTGTTTTAAATGAACATTTTGAACATTGGTGTCCAAATTACAAAAATGAACATTTTGAACATTGGTGTCCAAATTACAAAAATGAACATTTTGGACATTGGTGTCCAAATTACAAAAATGAACATTTTGGACATTGGTGTTCAAATTACAAAAATGAACATTTTGGACATTGGTGTCCAAATTACAAACATGAACATTTTGGACATTGGTGTCCAAATTATTAAAATGGACACTGGTGTCCAATAATTATATGCTAAATGTATCGTACTGATTTTCTCTTTATTATAGTGTCAGTATGGTACGGTACGGTCATGTTGATCAAATTTTGTAATTTTGTATGGGTGATCAACCGTACCGTACAGGTTTGCAAATTCGTACCGTACCGATTATCCTACTACCTCCGATTTTTCTATAAAAAAAAAATTTTTTTTGCATTTAATTTTTAAAAAATTTTAAGATTATAAATCAGAATAAAATTAAATATAAATTGACAAATAAAACTCAATATATAGATGGGTGTACAAAATTATTTCACTTTGGATTTTCAAAAATATGATAGTAATATTCAATAGTAATTTCCCTATTTGACGATACATATAATAAATTGATTATTATAGATTAAAAAATCCCGTTATGCTCATAAATACACATTATTATAAAATTTTTTAGGGATATAAATAATCTAATCAATTTTTTAAGCAGTATACTTTATTAAAATAGATTATGAATATTATAATTATCAAGAAAATTAGATTCAAACTCATTCAAATTATAATTCAAGAATTTTCAGTCAACAAAATTAGTCTATATTGTTATAATATGTCATTGTAATATATACTTAAAAACCATATACTTAAAAACCCATTAAATTTCATAACATATATTGTTAAATTTATTTGTATTGTCTAAAGATCAAGGTTTCACGAATAATTATTCGTCTAAAATCATTAAACTGTAAAATAAAATAATGATAATCAATACTAATAAAGGAGGTTCCGAACTTAACTTTGACATAAAAAGTAAATTTATGCTCCAAATTCGGAAAATGATAGTCTTAAACCAGGTTATTGGTTCTAGACCTGAAACTAATATAATTTATGTTCCAGGTCATGATAAAAAACTCTTCCTTCAAAAATTAAAAAACATAACAATTCCGCAGTAAAATTTTAATTTTATTTTACTCAGTTTTTTATTAAAATGGAAGATACAAGAAAAATACAAATAGCCGAAAATAAGTTTCCTATGCTTATTATGGGTGATGAAAATAGGTTTTTAAAAACTACATATTTCCAATATATACAATATTGTGAAAGTCTTAGTGCTTCATTTTTTAAGGGACGTTCAACAGAAGTTCAAAATAATATTTTAAAAGCAAATTTTGGATTAACAAATGAAGACATACTCAGTTGGGAGAATAGAGCCTCTCGTTACCAAATGACTCCTCAAAGTTTCTCATTTTTTTTACATGTTGCTATGTACTCTGCTTCTCATGGTTTTAACGCAGTATATGAT